CTAGCTGCCTTACAATGAGATTTCACTACCATTTTTGGTAGTTCTGTTACAAGTTCAAGTAAGTTAGAGCTGTTTTCAACCCTTATATCTATTTTCTTCAAAAAAAAAAAAAAAAAAAAGAAGGAGCAGGTATTCTAATAAGCTCTGTGTAAGTAGGATCCTGATCATTTTAGCTCTAGTTAACCCAACACATTTCTCTGGGCGTAACTATGGCCTCTCTGATAACTGGAAAACACTGCATAATTTAAAAAGTCTGAGTATAACGACATTCACTAGTAACTTCAAATAAGTTATGCTAGGAGGATGAAATACGGGAAGGTCAGGCCACCGATAACTGCCTAGCCATTAAAACAGTGACAACTTAAAGATCTGCTGAAATCAAAGGAAACAGAGCAACCATCCTTAACTGGCTGGAGGTACAAATTCCACCAGTGTCCTGGTGGCCTTCATAAAGGGTACAAGATGACCTATCCACTCTGCTAGGCTGTGACCACACACAGAAACCCAAGAGCCCAATGCAAATCTGGAATGTGATGAGTATAAAACCCAGTGGCAGGTCTAAGCTTGCTTTTGACAGTCCAACTAGCACAGAGACAGACAGTGAAGAACTACCAAAATCCCATGAATAGTTGTTTTTCACCTTAGAAAACCATCCATGAGGTTACTATGAAAAAAATATAAATCAAGGCTGATACAGCTAAGTGCTGCCTCACAGCTGGCTGTCTGGATATGGAGTTTTGCCAGTCCCTAGCTGACTGTTTTCATTATTTAATCAAATATTAAGAAAAGTTTAAGTCACATGTGAGCCTTGTCAAAAAACAGAAAAAGGTTAATTTCCTATGATCAGCACAAACTGTTAACCTGTTAAGAAAAGCCCAATTTTTCCAGCATTCGAGTATATACATACATATCATGTCTGTTTCTTTTTAAACATCTTAGGGTGAGGAGGAAGACAAATGAGATAAAGACACAAGCTTAAACATCCAGCAAGCCCCATTCCTCATTCTCTCTGTGGCTGGCAGCATTAGTCAGAAAGTCACTCCTTTGCTGCAATGGTCATGATATATTTGAATGTGTAGATTTTAAGGATTTCCTTATTCATTTGGCTAGGCCTATGTACGTGCTTTTTCATTTTCTTGGTGGAATAATTCATCAGTGCTTTCTGAGAGGCTCAAACAGGATCACTGGCCAGATTCCAAAGAGAAACTGTTTGGAAAGAAGTTAGGACAAAATGAAAGAAGATAAAATTGTTCCATGTTATCCCTGAAAAAGAATGAAAAAGAACCCCTGGGCTATGACTACAGTGCTTGGTAGGTTTGCTAGCAGTTGTCCTGGTATTAAAAACCTGAGCACAGCATATTCTTTCCAGGTCTGAACCAGATCTCAGAAACTATCTTTATTTAATTTATTTAAATATTTTAAGCATTACTTTGTCAAGTATTTAAATCATCTCAGATCCTTAAACAACTCTGCAATGTAGCTATTAACAGCTCCATTTTACTGCTGAAGAAACTAAGGCTTTAAGAAAATAAGCTTGCCCAAGGTCACAGAGCAGTAAGTGGAAGATTCAACAGCATCTGGTTCCAAAGCCCGTACTCTCTCCACTACCTCTCCAACCCCACCCTCTCCTTCTACCTCCATCCCATCCTTCCATTACCCACTCCTCCAACACACACACACACACACACACACACACACACCCCCTAGGAAGTAGACTTACCTTCACTTTTGGCCTGTATCTCAGGTAAAGTGTTCTTGTATATAAGCTGAAAGAAAAGGGGAGGGGGAAAGCTCTTCAGACGAATTTTTAATCCATGCAAACTGGCTTACTGACAAATTTAACCACAGTGCCTCTGCACATACAAAGTAAATGCAACACTGGTAAATGAACTTTGTTCATTTAGTAACCATATTTTGAGGACCTACTTTGTGCAGAACACTTGGCAAGATGCTAAGGAAGACAGAGAAATGATCAACTCTCCGACTGTGACCTCAGGATGTCTACAGTTTGGTTGTGGAGCATTCTGCTTATGCTTAATGGAGTCATATTATAATTGCCAGTTTCATCTTTGAGGATGTATGTTAGCAAGAATTAAGGTAAAGTATCCTTAGAATATTTTAAAAATGGTTCTATTAGCTCTACAAGGATTACAAATAGGTATGAAGTAACCAGGAAGTTATCACTTCTTTATAGCATCCAGTAAAATGAGTTACCTCTGAAGATGAGATGAGATTCTAAAATCAGTCCATATAGCAAAAATAAAGTTAAATTTATCCCTGAAAAATTTATTAGACTGTCCATAACTTACAGCATACATAATTTTATGTATAGTACACTATTTAAATGTATTTGAATAGTAAATATACAATGCATCATGAGTACATATGCAAAACATAATTTTATAGTATGAAAATTTTTCTCCTTCAAATAAGAGAATGAAAAAGAGCATGTATGGTTGAATTTGTGTAGTTTAATGTGGCTATGATGCCACTCCACAGTACCCAAAACCAGAACTGTGAAGAGAAACTCATATATTATGAAGAATACTTCTTAAAATACAACCTTACTCTT